TATTTAAAATAATTAAAAAACTATCTTTTTGTTTTCAAAATTGGACTTAAAAAGACCAAGAAGATTTATATTAAACGACATGAAATAAATATGTATTTATAAAAATATCATTACTTTTTATTTTTTTTTTTAAATATCGGCAGAATGATTTTTGATTGGTCTCAATTTATATCTTTATAAAATTTTGAAGTTAACCCATACATAAAAAATAGATATTCTTTTTTGTTATTTTTGCAATTTATTCAAAATCAACTTATTTTTAGAAAAACAAAAATCTTTTTCGAAATGACATCTCCTTTTTTTTTTACTATATTATGTTCAAAATAGAATCATGTAACATTTCATCTCAAAAAATAAGTTGAAGTTGAAAAATAAGTTCATATCATATGTTTCTTTTATTAGGAAGACAAAAAACAACAAATTTAGACACGACTTATCAAGCGTGTTCGAATTTGGCTAGGATTTCATAAATATTTATAAAGACATGAGAATTCTTAATTAGCAAATAAATTTAAATGTTACAAAACTTATCATCAAAATAAGTTATTAAATTAAAGAAAATCGATTTAAATTTAAATCTAAAGAACACAACATTTGTTTTGGTACAATAAATCTCCGACCTTTCCAGAACGAGTAAGATGTCTTAATCGTTGAATTAAGTTATTAAAAAAATAATGAAAACTGTAAAAATAATAATAAATGAAAAAAAATATATTAGAAAAGATATATATTGGAAAATAGAGGTGGGCATTATGGCAACCTATGCACAGAGACAAAAATGAAATGATGTGTGTTTGCCACCCCACCATGCCCTAGCCATCTGCTTCTGAGGATTCTGGCCACTGGACCAGGGCCCAGAAAAAGAGAGACCAATTTTGTAATTTCAAAAACTTATTTGAATTTATATTAAAATATTATTTTGGAAATTAGATCATAAAAGTGGGTTGTTATTATGACGCCATAGATACGTCGGCATGACGCAAGCAATAATGAGCTACTGAAACCCTAATTCATATTAATTAGTGTTTTGTGTTTTTATCTTTTTCAGAAGAAAAGAAAATATCGTATCTTAAAAAGTGCAAAAGGTAAAGAATGTGGGAAAATGAGTGAGAAAATTGGAAAAAGTGGATTGCATTCTGGTAAAAAAAGGTGTTAAAATAATAGCAGTAAATAAAGGAGGTAAAAAAACATTCAAAATTTAATAACAAAAATCGTGATACAAACTTAGCTCATGCCACTCAGCAGTAATTAGCAACTGTCCTATGACCAAGTTCGAATTTCCTTACCATGTGTTGTAAAAAAATATATATGTATAGGTGCGTTGTACTACACAATATTCTCCATTGAGGTTGAAGTTATATAAAGTTTTTGATGAGCCAAATTATTTATAAAAAAGGAAAGGAGGTGAGCACCATTATAATATTTAGTTTTCACACATATTACAATTTAAGATTACAATTTTTTAAGCTAAAAAATAAAATTTGCATTATTATATTTCTCCCTGTTTATCTCTTAATCATTACTCTTTTTTCTTTTTTCACTACCCACCATCAACGTCTTCTTTCTTGGTGGACAAACCCTATCTATTTTTGCCCCCATTCCTCAAGTCCCCTTCTAAAAAAGGATATTAAAATTAAATTAAATAATTATTTTAAGGAAATTATATTATATTAGGCAAACAACATGTAAATAGACGTAAAAAATCATCACACACGGAAAATAAATTATTAATGTAAAAACTAATATATCATAACTATGGAATAAAGGTCTACATTGTCAAAATAAGATATAACTACTATAAATTTTTTTTTTTACATAATTTTCTTGGAAAAAAAAATATTTTCATAAAAGCCTTTTAACCTAGAGTTGAATTTTCTACGATTAGAGTGTGGCCCCAAACTTCAACTATGATTTGTTCCCATGGACTTTTCTCTATAGCTTTGTTAATTTTTGTAAAAAAAGTGAAATTATTGTTGTTGTTGTTATTTTTATGCATGTTTTCAATAAACTTTGTTATTAATCTCTCAATGATTTAAATTTATCATATGGTTTCCCTACCATCAATTGATTAATCACACTCTTTTTAAATTTGATGCTTGAACTAACATTATATGTAATTAGGTATATGATCATCCATGAGTGGCATATGAGGTATAGATGACGAAATGTGAATATTATAATAAATATAAATGAATCATTCTCCAACTGAGCTTAGATGAAATTTGTTACCAAAATGCATGAAAGTATAATTACCATATAATTAATATAGAATATTATAGTTTTCAACATAAATATGTTGTCGTAGTTGTAGTATACATTATTACTTCATAAAATATATGTAATAAAAAGTTAGATCCTTTCAATTAAGGGACAACCAATGAAGGAATATAGATTTTTTTATTATTTTTTAATACAACATGCGGTGGAGTTCAAACTTACAGCCCCTTGATTGGAGATATATGTCAATCACCGCCAAATTATATTGGCTTTAGCAGGAATATAAAATTTTATTTCCTTTGTAATTTTAAATTTTATCTTGATTTATTGTTAAATTTTCTTAAGAATTATGAATATTTATAGATTTAAATCACAAAATTTTAGAATTGGATTGGACCTTGGTATACAAATTAGATTCCATTACTAATTTTATTTTTGTATGTTTTTGACAAATTTTTGTTAATTGTTACGTTCGTATACCTTTTAATATATTCATAAAAAATTAATAAACCGTAAGATTTATAGATTCATCTATATTACATAGGATATTTAGCCCTATATAGTTTGTGACATTTTCAACTCTTACTATACCTACCATATTTTTTTTATAGTTTCTCTCATCGTCATGTATGTAAACTTTTTTTTATAAAATACTTCTACCAGTATATATCGGGTTATTTTTTTATCTACTCGATCATCTACAACTTTCATATACTATATAATTTAGTTTTTCAGGTTTTAGCTTACCAATTTGATATATAAATTTATTTTGTTCTTTATCATAAAATTTTTAGTTTACCCACGGGTAAACTAATTAAAGACATACTTGCCAAAGTGAGCATAGCTCAACGGTAATTGATATCTTTCTATAACAAAGAGGAGGTTGTGATTTCGATCCCACCCCATACGTTATAAAAAAATTAATTAAAAACACACTTATATTAGATTTTTGTTAATGATGCTTTTATGAAACCATTTCAAAGATTAAAAGGGTTATTCTTTAACCTAAAAAACAATATTTAAAATTTTATTTCATAAATAAAGGACTGGAATAATTATGATGCTGAGAAGAAAGGGGATGAACATGATAGCAAAATTATAAGTTGGGAGTTTGGAAAATATGAAATAACAATTTAGAAGTTGGGTGGTCTGGTTGGATGTGGGGTTGGTTGGAAGCAGACAAAGCAAATCATCAAAACCAATTTCCAAAGAAATTTTTAAAAATAAAATAAAAGTTCACACACTTTTCATAATTTCATTCATCTGAATTAATTTCTTATAAAATAATAACAATAATAAGAGAAAAAAGAAATATTCCACACACATATATTTATTTATTTATCTCTGGCAAAAAGGTGAAAATAGAGTGGTGTTTTCTGTATGAACCACAATCATTTTTCTTCACCGCCGATACAGAGTGAGAAGACAGATTTGCATATAAGATTCATCCATCATTGCCTTCTGATCTCTTTTTAATTCTTTTTAATTTTTATTTTCTAAAAAAATAATACAATGTATCTCATTACCCCCATACCCATCCTTATCATAGGTTTTTGTACCAACACATTGCCACTTTTTTTCTTTCTTTCCCATTATTTATTATTGTGTACTCATTTTTCATATTTTGGCTTATAGGGCTCTTTCTTGTCTTTTCTAAAAGATGAACTATTTAGGTTTGTGAAATTTAAGATTTAGAAGTTTAAGTTTGTGTAAGCTTGTAAAGTTGAAAATTATAAAGTAAAAGWTGTGTAAACAAAAAATTTGAAAATAAATTATAAGAAATGGAAAAATAAAAATTCAAATTGTCAATAATTATTGAAACAAGAACAAAACTAACTTAGTTATAAACTTAAACTGACTAATAACTATTAGAATCTACATGATACATGTATATATGTGTGATCAGTAACAGATAATAGGGGTAAAAGGTAAAAACAAGGGAAAGTAAAATTGGTTGAGATGCAGTTATGATTTTGAAAATATATGGTCATTTTCAAAATAGTAGATAAAAAGTTGCTGCTTTTTATCTCAAAAATTAACTTTAACTTTCTGTGTTTCGACGATAATAATGTTTTTACGTCTAGTCTTCTACCATTCATTCATTATTAAAAAGAAAAATGGTTAATTTCTACAACAACTCTCAAACGGATGTGGTTATTAAACTCTCTCGAAATGGAATCAAGGAAAAAAAATTATTTAATTGATTATTTAATTAATCAAAAGGATGCTTGCTGTTCCTCGAGGCTAAATAGTCATTTAATTGATTCATATAAACTCATTTAATTGATTTATATTTAGCAATCACGTGTGAAAGCTGGACTAACATTCAGAACTATATAAAATTAAGAGAAAAACGTTTTTTTAAGGAAAAAAGAAAAAAAAAGTTAAAAAAATATCAAATCTTTAAAATACATTTAACCAAGACGGTAGACATCATATAAACTAAAATTACTCACATTGAAGAAAAAAAAAACTATCATATGGGGTTTCAACTAATTCAACTCCTAATTTTAGATTGAAAAAAGATTAAATATATAAAATAGTCCTTAATATTTGAAATAATTATCTACAATAAAGAAATAAATAAAAGTCAAAATAGTCTCTAATGGCTTGGAATTTCAAAGATTCTATAAAGTATTGGGTCAAATCACATAAAACTTAAAAATATTATATATTTAAGTATATCTATATATCTACCTAAATCAAATATTGTTTTCGTAATATATATCACCGTTCAAAATTTGACARTTAAAAATGGAGTGGAGTGGGGGTGGGTTATATGTATATAAATGTATATTTATTAGGTGTTGAGATTGCACAAAATTCTCTGGAAAGTTGAAAGTTAGAGAGAGAGAGATCATCGTGGTAGTGGTATCCAAATTCCAATTGAGTTTTGGTTTTGGTTGGTGTGATGAATGGGATCGGCTTCGGAGGAGATGGCGAATCAGTTGCTGAGCCTATTCCAACCCCAACAACATCAATCATCTGATCTTACTCTTACACAAATGGGTTTCTTCTCTCTCCCCCAAAACTCCGCCGCCGCCGCTGAAGAAGCCGGCCTCGATCTCTTCTCTCTCAACCCCCGCCAGCAACACCATCTCCATTACTTAGCTTCTGCCTTCGCCGGCGCCGCCACCTCCACAACCACGCTCCCATCATCTCCCTCCTCTCTCTGGTAAACTCAAACTCAAACCCCACCTCCTCCTCCTCCTCCTCCTCTTAATTTAATTAATTAGTTTTAATTTGACAGGGATAGGGATAGGGATGTGGATGTGGATGTGGGGAGAGGGAAAAATAATGGCGGTGGAGATGGCGGCGGCGGCTGCAGAGCGATGAAGATGAAGCGGATAAAAGGGAGGAAGAAAGTGAGAGAGCCCAGATTCTGCTTCAAAACCATGAGCGACGTCGACGTTCTTGACGACGGTTACAAATGGAGAAAGTACGGCCAGAAAGTTGTCAAGAACACCCTCCATCCCAGGTTTCATTCTTTCTTTCACTCATATAATTTAATTAATTGCATGGATCATTATTAATTGGATGGAGGGGGATTTTTAATAACTCACAGATCTTGTTTTATTTTCTCAAAGATTATATCTACACCACTACATAATTATTGCATATTCCTTTGCTACCTCTTCTACACTACTGTACTGTTTCTTTTTCTTTTTTCATTTCCAGAAAAAGAAAAACGTTTGTAATTTCATCATATAAATATGGCATTACATTTATATAAGTTGTGGGTTTATTCTTGATCACTATTCAAATAGGGTTTGTTTGTGTGTATTGTCCACATCTCTAGCCTTAATTCTAGGGCTTTTTTTCCCCTTCAAACCTAAGCTACCTACAAATCACAATTTGGTTATTTATTTAATATCATATTTAATAGATATAAGTAGATATCCCATCTATTGATTTTTAATAGAGTTTTGAATACATCGATGACGTATTATTGTAATAAACTCATGGTCGGATTGTGGTGACCTGGTTGAATAATTTTTGCATGTGCAGGAGCTACTACCGGTGCACAGAAGATAAGTGTAGGGTGAAGAAGAGGGTCGAGAGATTAGCGGAAGATCCGAGAATGGTGATAACGACCTACGAAGGACGACATGCCCATTCACCATCACGTGATAATTTGGAAGAGACGATGGGGCAGCTACCATCGGGCCACCTCAGCAATATCTTCTGGTAGAGTTAATAATGCTTGATTGTTTTACATAATATAGCTTAGTAATATTATGTTTTGAAGTTTATAATTTGGGTTTGTAAAGCTTTTTAATGAAGAAGGTTTATTGGGGTTAAGGAATGGAATTATGATAATAAGGGTAGGCGTGTTTGGGAATGAGTTGCGTGGGGCCTCTGCATCATCTGTGTGACTTCTCCTTTTCTCCAAGTTCAACTGAAAAAATTAAGATTAGGGTGTTTATTACATGCACAATTAGGTCTACTTTGTTTTGAAATTTTGGTCTCTAATTTATGGCAAGTTTTGGTGAATGCTCTCTCACGTTTTCAAGTTCATTGCTAACCAAACCATCAAATTTCTCACAAAATTTGATAAAGTTTATCATTTGATCTATTGGATATAATGCACCGCTCTAACAACAAAATTTCCACTGCAAATAAAGTTAAAGGTACGTGTTAGATACTCTCATGTGACCTTTTCTTTGTCATAAGTCTTGGAAATGAGCTGTGGCTCTAGACGATAAATAGGGACTCGTTAATTTCTTGTTCCTTGTCTCGGGAGCATAGGAGAGTTTTACATTACCATGGAAACAAGTGATTGAAATATTTCAATGGATTTTTCTTTTAATTACATAACCACACCAAAAAGAGTCATGTCTCTTCTAGCAAATAGCCAGTATCTCAAGATGGGACCAGGAGTTATAATTAACTGAATGGGAGGGAAGAAGAAAAATTAGGGTTTCTGTTTTACATTTTGTGTTAAAATATATATTTTTTAGTTCAACTAAGTTGGGATCGAACCACACGTGCAAGTTGTAGAATTGATATAAAACATTCTGATTTCGAATACATTTGTAAAATAAGTTTAATGATTTTTTTGCCACAGTGAATTAAGAACATATATTAAATGTTATGTGACATCAGTATATTTAATAATACAAAACTAATCAGAAGTTTTTTCTATAAATAATAATAAAAAAAGTAACAAATATATCACAACGTGTCATACTCACAGATGCGTGACCAATATAATATTAAGGGTCATTTAAATTATTTTCTAAAATTTAGAGATTAAATTGTCGTATTTTTAAAACTCTAAAACGAAGTAGATTTTTGACTGCTGAAATCTCATGAGTCCCGCTTTTAATAGATTTTATATCTATAATTTGAAATATTTTGTTCTCCTTGAATATAATTAATTATCGAACTTGTTTTCTTATTTTAAAGATTTTATGAGAGCTGTCACCCTCAACAAATTGAAAATGAGTTCATTTTTCATACTAAAGGTGAGCTCTGATATCTCTTCACCAATAATCCATTGTTTTTCTCCATTATTCTTTGGTTCTTATACAGATTTAAAGTTCAATGTAGTAGGCTATAGCAATTTCAATTTTTTAAAGATTTTAGATTGGGTGTTATGGAGGTTATTTCTCACTTGCCATATGACGAAAATTCGATACGTAGCTTAACAATAGTGGGTCAAGATAATGAATCACTCTAGAAAAGAATGACAGCTTGAAACTCCTAATAATCTATGATGGATTACAAGTCGTATTTCGTGTTGAGTTGATCTACATCTCTCACATTCGTAGCTTGACTTAATAGTTGAGCCGACCTTTAATAGCTTCAAGAGGTGCAAGCGTCTAACAGAATCTTAAACAACACATCGCAATTTTTGGGACAGAGAGCCCTTAAAAGACCTGTCGAAAGCCCAGCCTATAAATAGAGATCTCGTGCCACATTTTCAGGTACATGAAACTATATTCTCTAAAGCATAGATCAGACAAACACTAACTTGAGTATGGGAGTGCTTACTCAATTTTGTAGGTCCCTCGCTCGCCCTTCTACTTGTTAGCTAGTCAGCTCGACCTTTGCAAACCTTAATCACATTTTCCATATCAAATAGGTATGATTCCTTTTTTTTAAGTTCAATAATACCTTAATTTATCAAAAGTTATGAACCTCATTTTCTTTAACTTTTTAGCAAGTTAGTTACTTAATCTTTACTATTTTTGGTAGCAATTAATTTTTGTAGGTTCAATGAGAAAACCTTTCATTATTATAATTAACAAAAAAGAAAACCAACCACACAAATTATTTTCAACTATTTAAAAAAATTCAAAAGAGTTGAAATGTTAGAAGGTAGAAAATCAGATAAAATACTCCCTAAAAAACGTAAGTTGCTGTGTAACTTTTTTTAGCATGAAAGCGCTAGAATATTCCAACTTTTGAGACAATCCAACTACTCTCGGCCCTGAATTACAGGTTACCGTGTTTTGTATCGTACAAGAAAAGGGCCCAGTTTAATTTACTGGGTTGGGCTTTGGTCTTATTGGGCCCGGCTTCCGTTTAAACATTGGGCCGTTCGAGCTATCCACTGTTGTTTGTAACTTAGGCTTCTTGCACAAATAGCCATTATAAATTAAATAATTTTAAAACTCCCCAAATATATAATGCCAAAAAGTCCTTTATTCACACATGACACATGCATGCCTACATCTTAGGAAAGAACAAAAAATAATAAATCGAAACTGATTCTAAACGTCAAAATTTTTTAATCAATAATTTTTTTAATGAATATCGTAAAATATTAATCTATTTAAAATATGATAGGTTGGAGCTTTTGGTAATGTTCACTTTCTGTTTCCTCTTTTTTTAATTAAAAAAAACTTTAATTGCATGTCCCCATATTCAAGAATGACAAAATAAAATATTGATTTATGTCGGAACAAATTGATTTTTTTTTCAAAAGTTCTATATTGATTGTTCTAGAAAATGAGAAATAAGAAACATAAAAAGTTTTCAAAAGTTTAGATTTCTTAATAAAATTAAAAACAAGAAATAAGAAACAAGAAACAGAAAAAGAAAATGAGAAATAAGAAACATAAAAAGTGATTTTTTAATAAAATTAAAAACAAGAAACAAGAGAAAAAAAACAGCATAATTTTTTAAATCTAATAAATTATATATTTTTTTCCTAATATACATAAATTGATTTCTAAACAAATGTTAAAAAAAAGTTGATAGTAAAAGGGAAAGAAAACACATTATTATGAAGTAATATAACAGACCAAATTTACATTAAAACTAACACTGATTGTTTTTATTTGAATGACTCAAAATTTTAATTTAATTTCGAAGGTGATATTAGTTTTAGAATTTATTCAAGTTTAAAACTCAATTTATCAAAAATAAATTTTAGAGTTAAAATTAGGCTAAATCTATATAGCTAGTGTTGTTGGATAATATTTCATTTTTATGGACATATTTGAATTTTTAACCAAAGTTTTAAAAATAAAATCAAGTTATTGAAAATTATATTTTTTATTTTCAAAATTAATGTTTGTAAAAAGGATGTGGCAAAACCAATGGACTATAGTAATATTTATGAGCCTCATTTTTAAAAATAGAAAACAAAAATTGAAATGGTTACCAAACAATATCGAAGTTTTCTACCTTTTTTTCATATATATATATATATATATAGTTGAAGCTCATTTATGGGGTCCAAATGTAGAGGATGAAGACGAGGGTTGTGGAGAGAGCTGGCTTGATAAATCATTGTGGGGCTCTCTTCCCTCCCCTTCCCTTGGTGAATTTTTCAAACTAGCTAGCCCCATTCATTTTCATTATTTTTAATTCCCTTCCACATCAATGAACTTAATTCTATTTCCATTTTTTTAATTCTAATTAACGGAAATTACGTGAATATAATTTAACTGTATCAAATCCTCCCTTATTTTTTGCCATAAAAAAAATAGAAAAAATGAACTTAAAAGAGAAGAAGGATAATTGTTTTTATTTATATTTAAATAAATTTGTAATTTTCTTTATGGATATTTTGAATATTATTGTAAGGAAAAATTGGAAGTCCAACCCAACATCAACCTCATGGTGCATTGAATTTTGGTTTAAATGCTTTCACCAAATTTTGGTACCCAAAGGAAATACCTTTGTGCAACCATGTTGCCCACCACCAATATAAATAAATAGATAGATAAATAAATAAATAAATACATAATTACCTATTTTACCTATAAAGATGTCTTGATTTAAGAGTTAAAAGACTACCCAAACCAATATTTTGTAGCATATGAAGTGAGACATCAATTTTTTTTTCTTTGAAATTGAAAGTTCAAATCTCCTATACTTGAAATAAAATAAAATTAAAATTAAGGTCAAGTGACTTTTTTTTGTTTCTTAATTTTCTTTAAAACAAGTTAAATAATAAACTATATATATTTTTTTCCATAAGTTATGCATACTTTTAAAAATATTTGGTCAAAATTAAAAATGAGAACAATAAATAATAGATAAAGAATTTAAAAAAATGAAAATAAGTAGAGAAATAAAAACATTACCCAACAAATAACAATCTTTTTAAGTTCTAAATCACCCATTTTGAAGTACAGATTTCTATTTTCAATTACTTTTACCAAAAGAAAAGAACTGACTCGAGTGATGTTCGAAGTACGTGTAAAGTAATAAAGACGATTAAAATAATTACCAATAATAATAAAAAATAATTTATTTATTTCAAGAAAAATAAAAACAAGACAAAAAGAAAGAAAGAAGCTTTCGCACGTGAGCTCTACTAATTTCAACGTTGATGAAGTGAAGCTAATCTTTGTGAATTATTTAAGTAATTTATAGTCACATAATTCCAAAAAATTAAAAAATAATAATTCAGCAACTTAATATTATTTTATTTTAAGTAATGCATAAATAAATATTCATTAAGTTTAATGCACGTAAAAAGTCGGGTCTGCCTCGTAAACCAACCAACAAAAATACATAATTAATAATAATAATAACAAAGCCCTCTCTCTCTCTTCTAAAAGATGTTGCCGTGGTGGGGCCCACCGGCACTTGGGGGACTACCACGTGGGTGTCTCGTGACCCGCACGTTCAAAACCCTAATTTCAAGGCCCTTCAACGCCAAAACTTCTCCTTATTAAATATTTTTGTTATTTAATTAATTTCTCTTTTTCGGCCTTGAAATTCTACCCTGTGCCCCGCTCACACCGATGCTTTGCCAACCTCACTATAATCTAATCGATCACCTTTTGGATTTTTTTTTTCTTTTTTGATATTCTATATCTTCTTAATTAAGAAGTTTTAGGAGTTTGGGTTGAATGCTATTTTACCCTTCTACAGTCGTACAATTAAATATTAAAACTATGAAGTTGTGTTTTTATTTTTTAATTTGAATAATGATAATTTTGATTTGGATAGTGTAATACATGTCAAACTTGTACCTTATCCTCTATATATATATATATATATAT